AGCGTCGTCTGGAACCTGTAAGAACATTCGCGTGTATCGGCGAAAGTCATGGCAAAATACAAAATACAAAAGTTTGAACTCTGATATCGAATGCCAAACCTGCGGTCTGATGAATCGACGATCCCTGCGGATGCTGTTCAGTGTATGGTGAGCGAAGAGACGCTCGTGAGCGCTCAACTTGACGTTCCAGTCTCTATCCGACGGCGAGACTTTATCTCCCAACACGGGTCCGCGTGATATCCACGCTCCCTCCCGGGAGACATCCGGCACAGGATAAGGATTCCGCACGTAGAACGCCTGCGCCATTATAGTGCGACCTACCAACACTATTTGAGAATATAAAGCACATATGTATACGAGTTAATTTTCTGGTCGAAACATTTTATAATACTGTCGCGAATTAAAGCAAAGTTGAAAAATGTCTTGTCAATGAATCGTTTGATTAATTTATCGTGAGAAGTATGCAAGTATATCTGTCGATTATTCATATGTTTCAGAAATTCTAAAATTAAACTTGTACGTGCATACAATTTTTATTTCTCTTCAGAAAATCTATGATTGAAAGCGAGATTCAAAAGAATCGATACATCGTCATTTTATTACAAAGTTGAATTTATTCTTATATTTCATCCCGTTTTTAATTACTTTAATATTTCTCTCTGTTTATATTTTCCGAAATATTTTTTCCAATTGATCAAATCGAAAGTAAGTATTTGCTATGCTTTCTTTCACGCGAGCAATTTTCCCGTTACTACGACTCCGTTTAATTTCCCGTAAATCCCTAGTAAACAATATCAATTCGTTCGAGACTCAAGAGATTGTATCCGGTCTCGCGGTCTGCTTCTTCGGGATTAAGACACGACTCTGTGGCTTGGCCGAAGGGCAACACTCGAGTTGACTCGCGTGGATCCCGATACTCATTCATAAATGAGGTCGATCTTAATTCATGCAAACGGCCTGCATCGCATCACTCTCCACTTATCGTTCCTTCCGCTCGTTCTCGCCTTCGCGGTACTCTGATATTTTCTAAAGACAAAGCGCTCAAAGCTTTTCGAAATTATTTTACGGATGCTGTGAAAGAGCCTACTGTGAAATTTGGTCGAGACTTTCCACGAATAATACTATTCACACGCGTCTCTTTTCTGTTTGTTCAAATTTAATTGATCGATTGACTTTGTATCCGGTAGAGAGATGAATTTTATCACGAGCAGCCGTAACTGAATCTATCAATTGTGAGTCGGTTTGTAATAATTGTACATATACGGATCGATCTGCAGTTCTCTTTTGAAAGAGTAAAAGTTAAATAACACGAAAAATAAATCTCAAACTGCTTGAACGTGAATGTTAAAGTTTCAATTTTGATACTGGTTCCCGTCGCACGAAATGATTTTCCCTGAGATTTCTCTGTACTGTGTTATGTGATTTGACATGATTTGCGTTTTGATATCGGATCTTCGAGGAATTTCTCGAGTAATCCGAAAAATCGCGAATTGCATTCACCGGGCTCTCCCCGCGTTTAACGTGTTTTGCTCAGGAGGTGGTCGGTCAGGGGCAACACGCCGACGTCCAATATTAAACCCGCGGTAATTTATGTTAGCGCGAGCGTGCATAATGCTGTTTGTATAAAGCGCTACCGCCACGTGTCGACTCGTGCTGACTCGTACGTATCACTCCCTCCTGTGCTTGTCCTTTAATTCCCGTCGTACTGCGTAGGCGACGCGCAAAATCCCGCCCGGTACGTACGCATGCCATTCTGAATGTATTCTTATATCTCGAGTTTTGAGGCACACAAAGAGAAAATAATATCCCGTGCGTTAGCGGGGTCTCACATTCTTATATAGACACGAATACATTTTATCATGAATTTTATAAAAACTCTTTAATCTCTCTCAACGCAATGCATAGTAAACAATTTTTTTGAACCTTTAGAAGAATTTTTCTTTGCATCTCTCGCACATTTATATGATTTAATATGATGTAGATATTCGATTCTCGTCTTATGATGCCAAATATCGTCGGCGCTGAACGTAATCTTTACATTAGCTAAATAAATGTCGGAGGCGACGAAAAACTGGCGCCCCTTTATTTCCCGGCAGATGCGCGCTTATTACGCAATGTAGGATCTCTCCCTCTGTCTCGCGGAGGGTGGAAGGGCCACGAATCATCTTCCGCGTCATTGCTTGTTCGACCTCTCCTTCGGGGCATCAGCCCGGGCTACACGA